TAATTTCTCATTTCGTGTGCAAATTTACGTGCATCACATTGTGACCATATGGTGTAAAATCAGTGATTTTCGGCTCGATCCGAACCAAGCACGGCCCGTAGACTTGTCCTTTATGATTTCTAGATGACTATCGGTACCAAAATACGGGAAAATATTGTTGCAAAATGAGAGAGACGGAGACTAAGGTAAACTTCTTTTATTTGAAGGCTGGATTTTCATTTTCCTGGCAGGCTTCTTTGTATGTAGTGATCATCAGTTATTCAGTAACTTAATATGGATTTTTGTTCCGGTCAAAAAAACCGGTCCACCGACCTTTCGGTTTTTTTGGACCGGACCGATAAAATTTTACGGTCCGAACATATTTAAAAGAGTGATATTTTGAAGAATTTCAGTAATGCTACAGATTTACAAAGCTATACCGTTATATATATATATATGATGTAAAAATAGGCATTATTGGTTTCAGAATGTTGTAATATGGGGGCTTGTGTATTTGCAGAAAGTATTTCCAAATTGCAGGACGAAATTTTGACTCTTCTGCAATATTGCAGAGCACTGAAAAAAAGTATTTTGACCACTGCGTAGTTATATGTCACTTCATACTATAGCTATATCGATGTGAAAGATTGTTTCCCTTGTATTCTCCTTCTTTTCCTGCCATGTCGTAAAATGTGGTGAAGCCATGCTGAATTTGCTCCAAAACAAATGTGTTTTTTTAAGTTTTATTTCATTTTATCTTGTGAGTGCAAAACAAACAATATATAAATAAACTTTGAATCGACAAACAAGTATCAAAAGACACATTGCAATCATGATTTTCTATATCAATCATCGCTGACACATCTTTATCAGCGTGTCAGTTTGTACAATGGTAATGTTTACAAAATAGTAAGATTTTCCTAGCTGTAATTGGTCTGGGGGGGGGGGACTCGGGGTTGCAAGAATATTGATTATGTATAGTGTAACTACTGTCCAAGTCCAAATTCAATCTCAAGATGAATGCACGGTTACGTTTCGGGGATTCAGACAAAAAATATATTTTAAGAACCAAATAATCGCTTCTGCCCTAGAGACTGCCTTTATCAAACATTATCAAGACCTGCTACGATGTATAGTTAATAGTGACCACAAGTAAAGGGAAATAGATTCTAAAAAGTCTTTCTGTCTTTAAGGTCACCACATACCAAACGTATTGTAACTAAGTTCCAGGGCCCAGCATCTTCGTTAGGTAATGTTATCCATTATCATTGATAATTTACAATAAAGTTTTCGCGAGATCTCAATAATCATGGATAAATATATTCCTAGCATACCAGAAAAGCCCGGTTTAAATAGGATTAAATGAGGAAAATATAACAATAAGATAAGCACACCACACTATAACCACAATACCATTCAATACCATAACCACAACATTTAACCCTACGTACACGGGTGGGGGTTCTTAAGTGCCCGCGCCAACTTGTATAGCTATTGTTGTATAGCGTCGGAACGGCTGTCTCCAAGGCCCCTACTGAAATATTGTTGGCAACAATTCTTAAAGCAGTGAGATAACCAATGATTTTTCGTTTTGCCATCGGACAGGCATTTTTTTTTTGGCAAACTTCAGGATTTTTGGCTTAAACAATAAACTTTTCAGGCTAAAATGTTAAGTCAATCACACAAGTTTTCTAATATTAATTACATATTATGTAATTTTATGTAATCATGATAATCATGCGTACTTTATGCTGATTCGATGGCTACATTGGTCAAAATCCAAGATGGCGGACCATATATATATCCACAGATATCCACGAGGGAAATCTCGGTTTTCGTCCGGTGTCAAAAGATCAGGTATATTCCGGCTATTTTCCTTAAAATTTAATCCCTACTTTGGACCTCTTTTTCTCTACTTCCATTATATTTTAGGCTTTATGTTAAAAAATAATTTAAAAACTCAAGATTGATGATCCAAGATGGCGGATAGTTTTTTGTTAAACTTGTGATGTATACCATGCAGTTTAACGCGAATGTCCTATATCTAGGTGATTTTAGGCAATAAAATCCAATCAAGGGCGTCATTATTACGTCATTATACGTCACAATTCTTTAAAATACACCATCCTTTGGTGGTCATACGATATACCGTTCATGAGTTCTAAGGGAGGGCCGAATGAGTCACCCCCCAGTCCCACTGATCCCCCAAAAGCCCAATCTCGATAGGGTTAATAAGTTGCTTAGTAAAATACTATGTAGTTACCATGCTGTTAGCACATCCTTCTTTATTAACCCTCAACAGAACACCTTCCCGGACTGATTAATCTGTACACCTGGGGTCCGCGCGGACCCCAGAACAGTTTTTTGCTAATTTTTAAAAATTATCAACATGCTACCAGCTCAA